AAATACTTTAAGAGAGAAAGAGAGGTCTGTTGTATGAGGCTTGTTCCTCACTGTTTTCTGCTTCGAATAACAGTGCCCACGTCATCATAAACACAGTTATAACATTCCCTTCTTCACTGCAGTTTCCACAAAAACAAAAGGTAAAAATTGGACATCTTTAGCTACCCGTTTGATATGTATATCGTTTTAGGTACAAAGAAATCAAATTTGAAGTAGTAGTATTACAAATGGGCTACTTTATAAAAATGGCCTAAGCACGTACAAGCGTCGCAAAGAAAGTGCTGGCCGCTGGGCGGGACGGGCTCGCCCGGGGCCCTGCGCCAGGGCCGGCACGCGGCAAGGGCAGAGCGCATGCGCCGCCTGGGGCCTCCCTCCCCAGGGCCCACCTGACCCTCAGCCCTCCGACTGCTAGAACTGTAGGTACTCCTTTCAAGTGTGATGCTACAAACCCCAAAGAGATGAATGCAAGTTCTGAGTCAAATCTTTTTTAAAAGTTAAAGTCCACTTGGGGAATTTTTTACTGTGAGGATTTAAAACAATGCACAACATAGTCTGTAAATTAATGTGCCTTTAATAGAAATCAAAATGTACACACTCTTCACAGGTGAACTAGTAGATGTCTTTAATGTCTTTTTCCTATAGTAAATATATATCTCATTTAATGAAGCCACAGCAAAATACTACTATTATTTCAAGGCATAGTCTGTAAACTAATACATCTTATGATGTAAAAAAATATTGCACATTCAGTACTCCAAGAGTAAGCTCTAAGCCTTCATGTGGAATGGTCAAACCCTTGGCAGAACACAGTATAACGAGAACTAGGTACTTTAAAGTATGGTGATTTTTAGGGTCTAGCACATTGTTCACTAGATGTCATGACCGCAGACAGCGTGAGGAACGCCCACGACACACCGGTACAGTGACAAGCGGCGGAAGGCCAGCCACAACACCTGACTCAGGACGAAAGCTGCCAAACACGCGTGCAGCCCGGAGCTAGGGATTCATCTGCACTGTCTGCTTTTGCAGGTGACCAAAACAAAAGCAATTCTATTTCTAAGCAGTTGTGTAGAAGTTTGCAAAATACAGTAGATGTTCCATATATTTTCAACTCTCTGGAGGCTTATGTTGTTGTTAATCTCTGTGAAAAGTTTAAAATATACTATTTAACAATGGAATAATATGAAACCTACATTGATTCAACTTTAAAAGCCAACAGGAATCTCAGAAGAAATTAACATGGCATAGATCTATCTTCAAAAGTAGGCTAAATTATATACGCTCCAAATTTCTGCTACGGTATGCTAAGCATTTGGTTAAAAATAGATTCCATCATTATTTTCAAGAAATGTGTTACTACACAGTAAAGTAAATCCTAAAAACTCAGTTTGGCCTCAACTTGTAGCCTTTAGAATCCTATGCTGAGGTCTTCATGAGCTGCTTAGTACACACACAGATCTGGAAACTTCATCTCATAGACCGGAACAGACTGGTACTGGGCATGCCCAGAAGTAATGGTCAGTGTTCCTGATGGACTGGGCGGCGGGCTGTGAAAGAAGAACAAGCATGGTCAAGAGCGCATTGAGAGCTGCTCACCGCCCAGAGCACCCCTGAAACAGCGCCAACAGCAGTGTGCAAATGCCTGCACTGCGGGGCTCGCCCTGACGCTGCCCGTGGGTTCCCAGGAAGGTCATGGCGCCAAGCTGGTTTTGAGCTTTGACCAGACATTTTTCTGTGTGGGTTATGTGCTCAGGTATGTGTAGGTAACTTTCTATAATGGGACTCACTGCACCCATTCTTACAAGCTAGCTTTGTTTCACTAGCAAAAGTTCCTTTTTACATGCATGCATTATCCTTTCTGATGCTGTTTCATTATCTGGCCATAGTGTAATTGATCAAATCAGCGGACAAAGACAGGTTCATTTCCACTTTTCATTACTACACATAATGCTCAAAGGTCTATTCTTCTGCGGATACAATTTCATCCTGATTGTCTGTTAATAGATTAATTTATGGATCAAAGTGCATAATAATTTTGATTTTGCTACACATTGCTATAGCACTGGAAAATTATAATTTCACTATTTTAGTGTACCTATTCCTTATACCCTTATAAGTTTGGCTATAATCAATTTCTCTTCATTGTTGGAAGTTGGGCAGGTAGAAGCAAGTCATTATTTATATTTCCAATTTTTTGGTTACTACTAAGGTTAAATGCTTATAGATTTAATATCCCCTCTAGGTTCCTTGTAAAATGAATTATACCTTCTAATTAGTGTTTCTTCATTCTTTAGGAGATACCTAGGAGGAGATCTGCGGGATCGTATGGTATATCTACTTACAAAATTTTGAGAAACCGCTAAACTCTTTCCATTCTTACATATATAGCCAAAGATTAGGAAGGGATCACACACCAAAGTTCATTGCAGCACCATTCACAACAGTCAAGCTATGGAAAACCTAAATGCCCAAGCCAGATGCATGCATTAAAAAGATATGGCATTCATACATGATGGACTACTGCACAGCTGTGAGCTACCTTTCCATCATATACACTACTGTAAAATGATGTACTCTTCCCATTTACTGTACGATGGATGAGACCACTAGGGATTACGCTGAATGAAGTAAGAAGTACAACTACTAAATGTTGTCACTCTTGTGGAATACAGAGCAAGTACACAAAGGATCAGAAAAAAACAAAACCTGCCTAGAAATCTGACAGTAAAGTTGAGGCTACCAAAGAGGGAGGAGAAGGCAGAGCGCAGAGAACGAGGGCCCAGTGGACGCCAGTGGAGGACTGTGGGTGTCATGGTGGCAGGTGTGGTGTGGTGCAAACACCTGAGGAGGTGTCCCTATGCCTTTCCACCGTATGCACTACTGTAAAATGACGCGCCTCAAAAAGTAAATAAGCAAGTCAATATGTAAATAAAAGCCCATTAGCAGGGAAATCCTTAAAAAAAGGTATAATTGAACCAAAAATATCATCTACTTGTGTTCACTGTCTATAGTTCTACTTTTCAATGTTTTTCTGTTAATAATTTAACAAACAAAATTCAGTCACATAATAAAAACGCTTTTCACAATTTATTATTTAATTCTCAACTTAAAACCTTTTTAAAAATCAATTATTTTGTTCCATCTTACACTTCAATTAGCAATGTGTGAGCTTTCTAGCTGTGGTAAGACATCCTTATTAACATTTTTTATTTTCCCTATTTTTACATTTAGTCATTCTACTGCTAGAAAGTTCTCTCGATATTGTTGAAATCTGCACTTTCCTGTTAACTTAGGGACTGCACATGCTTACGGTCACTGAGCATCTCTCATCTTTCCTCCCATGAAATGCCTGTTCCTTTGTCAATTTAAAATATTCTCTTTTTATTTCTGAATTGTAAAAGTGCTCTATTTATGCACTCTATATATTTTCTCAGGTGCTTGAGTTTTTCATTTTTTTTAATGGAGCTTCTGGTGTTAATTTTTTTAATGTAGCACTAAGCTCAATTTATCAATTTTGCTAAGTGTTTTTTGTATCTAAGAAATCAATGCTTATATGAAAACTAAAAATATTCTCATCTATTTTTTAAAGAAGTTTCATTTCTATCTTTTTGACTGACATTTGTTGTCCAAACTGAATAAATGTTTGTGCTTGATGAAAGGTGGGGTGTTATTACTCCGCCTTCAGGTAACCTAGTTGTTCCAGACATTTGTTGAAAGTTCTTTCTTTCCTTCTTTAAAATGTTTTGAGTCCTTTTCTGAACTATATTACTTTGATCTATTCATATAACTTATGGCAATACTGTTGTGATTACCTTATATAAATTCTTTTTGTTGTTGTTCTTAAATTAGGCCACTCCAAGGTCATTCATAATTTTATTCACATTTTAAAATCAAATAATAAATCTTTACCCAAAAAGTCTGCTGGGGTTTTGGTTAGGATTCTGCTGAAGCTATAGGTCAACAACATATAAATAATATTTAGTCTTTCAGAACATGATTGTGATATAGCTTTCCTTTGTCTAATCGTCATTTGACATCAATGACAGGTTCTTGGAAATCTGACTTTAAGGAAACTTCTGTAACAAAAGCAGATCCCTGCACAGTGTCTCTTCTTTTGTTTAACACGGGCTATGATTTTTTTCTTATCAATATTATAATGAAACAACATCATCTGATTATTTGCTATACATTCTCATTAGGTGACCCTGGTAAATTACCAAGTCTTTTTTGTTTCCACACTAGAAAGATAAAAATAGTCTCTATTTATTTTTAAGTCTGGTGTAGAGGTTAAATAATAGCACATAGCCCAGACAAGTCTTCAACAGGCAGATTAATAAAACAGAATTCGAGTACTTACTCTAAAATGTTAAATCTACACAGCTGTGACAGCATAACTAAATGGAACATGGTACATTCTGACTGTCACTCATACTTGCTGTCTTTCAGCGAGTTACTTGACTTTCCCAAGCCTCAGTGTCTTCATCTGGAAAATGAGAGGGGGAAAGCATCTTCCTACCTTTTCGGTCTGTGGTGAAGATAAAGCAGGTAGCACAAACCAAGTATACAGCAGACACTTAGTATTGCAACATGCAGACCTCAAAGAAGTAAATGCTCCTGCCCAGTCATTTCGTGATTCTGAGGTGTATCGTATATTGTGTATCTTAGTCTGAATCTCTGTTCTGAAATTCTGTAGATGAACAATTCTAATCTTACTGGGGGGAGGTGGCTGGCATGGTGGGGAAATATCTGAAATAAGATGTAATACTTATGAAAATGTAGTTTGTGTATGAAGGTAAAAAAGAGAAGAGATAGGGAAATAAAATACAAAATGCAGTGGGCTAGAGCATCAACTGTCTCCTCTGTTTACAGGATATTGGGGACATTGGGGTTGAAGCAAAATAGAGTTGGTTGATCAAGTTAAAAATATAGCTGATACAGAAAAAAAAAATCTAGGTGCACAGATGGGAGCAATGGCTCCCATCCTGTGTGGTCATATACAAATGCAGAGTCCACACTGGAGATAGGACGAAGGGGAGGAAGTTCTTTCCCTACATGGAACCAAGTCTGCCTCTTTCCCGATCATATGCATCATTACCTAATAAACCGGTGGACTCAACTACCAAGTATGTTCTATACAAGGTACTTTGGGGACATAAAATATCTAACACAAATGGATGAGACATAGAGAAGTTCAAGGAAAGCTGAGTTCAAAGAGTAGTTTGTATAGACAGAAATCACGACTCCTCCCCCAGAAAGACTGCTCATGGCTAAGCCATATTAACTCTAGTTTGTGCAAGGCAACATGATTAAATGTGAGAAGTTATTGGCTTAACAGTATCATTACAATGAGAGCCGAGGAAGGAGTGCCCTGAAAGAGAAGCCAGAAAGGCAGAGGTTGCCTGGACCAGCACAGCTCTCCGGTTCTGTGCCATACAAGGAGTGGCCACCAAGAGAAAGGCAGGAGCTTTTGCTCATCCTAAATGAAAGGCACAGGAACTTTAAACTATCTAGCCACAAATTATGCGGGTCTAGAAGTTTCTAATTTGTTTTTGGAGTAAGGAAAAAAGAAAACCCTTACCGTATGGTGAGTTCCAATATTTGAGCAAGTCTATCATGAAGCAGATTTGCCTATAAAGGGAAAACAAAAATGGGTTTATTATTTTCCAAATACCCACATGTAAACCATATGAATGCAATGTAAAAGAAAAAGCATAATTGTTAACAAGTAAGTGGATCACACAGTGGCTTTAATGTTTTGGCTTTATCTGTCTCTTCTATTGGCATTTAACTGCTTCTTTCAGTCCTTTCTTAGTCTCATTGACAAAACCAGACCAACAGAAACAAAAACCAAAATACCCTCCATAAGATGACTGAAGATCACTGCCAAAAATGTTCACTAACAGTCACTCACAGTTCAGTTGGGACGGGCCTTCAGCCGGCTTACAGCGCTCCACAGCTGTGCCCGGGCATCTCCCAGACGCTCTGCCTTGTGCTCCATCCTGAGCCTGAAGCTTGGTGCCTATCAACCAACTACCGAGAAGTCTCCACCAATGCAAACTCTACTCCTTCTCCCTTTACCATCTGTACTTACTTTGGATTCACACTGTGCTGCTATTTCTTCAAACGGTGCTTTCTGGAATTTTTCTATCACGAGACGTCTTTTCTCCTTTTCCTGCTCTTCCATCCCATTGGTATCTATGCAAGTGTTTACAAAGACCAGTTAAAAGAAATACAGAATTTCCTAGAACCTTATGGCTAGTGACCATAAGAGCAAATGATCTATAAATTAAAGATCAAGGCAACTTTCAAGATTAATTTCATCAGGAAAAAAAAAAAGGCATAAATCCTTGGAACACTTTCAATCTAGAAAACACACATTTTTTAAAAAATCTAAGAATTAAAATGCATAGTAAAAGTTCACTATCTCCCTTTCCAAAAAAACAGGGTCATTTTCTACAGGTGAAGGACCTGCATGGAAGATGACCCTGTTATTAATAACTATCCCTTTGGACATATGAGACTGAATAAAAGCTCCGCCAATTGATGTGAAAAATACCTGCAATACAGACAGGGGAACTGGGAACTGAACTATTTCAGTTTTTCCATATACTCACTACAATTTAGAAGATGTGCTTTTGTTTGCTTGATCTAAAGGTACTGTGTGGTCTGGCTAAAGTTTGCAAGACTGTAAAATATGCCTTTTGATACTACTAATACAATTACTGTGCCTATTACTTCAAGAAAACAAAAGGAAGACTATTAATGACTTATCAGTTCATTTACTGGTAACAACTAGTAATTCTTCATGAGTGTCTTTCCTTTTTTCCGGCCCAGAGTGTATAGATATACACTATGCCCAAGTGTCCTTCAACAAAGCTGCTTTTCAAGTAGACGAACTATAGGCTATAGTTTTAAAAAGTGGAAATAGCAGGCAGAAAGGAAATGGCCATTGTATTTTTTTTTTTTGAAATTGTGGCAGGTTAACAAAACTGAAGACAACTACTGATTACAACACAGAACTATGATCATGGGACTGTAGTCACGTCCAGTGTGACAGGAGCTTGGCAGGAGCAGAAATGTTTAAACCAAGCAGGTCAAAGCAGCAGATGTCAAGGGAAATGTGGGCAAGCTGAACACACTGCCAGGTCTTAAGTGCCCGGGCTCAATATATAAAAATAATGCCCACCCAGGTCTGGCTTACTGGCACCAAACTTGCTTTCCATGTAGCAGCTCTCAAAGTTTCTGTTTTTAAGAGTGCTTACACTCTTAAAAATTACTAGAACACCAAAACCCTTTTTATTAATGTGTGCAATCTTTTACTTTCTATGTAGTACATTAACTGAGAAACTTTAATAAAAGTATTTAAAAATATGAACTCATTATGTTCACATAAGTAACATTTTATGAAGATATTTTTGAAAATGAAAAAAAAAAAAAAACTTCAAGAGTGGTACTGTTTTATATTTCTGCAAATTTTCTAATATCTGGCTTTAAAAAGGCAGTGGGGGGCCCTCCCTGGTGGCGCAGCGGGTTCCAGCACAGCAGTGAGAAGCTAAAGCCACTTCCGCATGAGTTCGATCCCCGCCTGCGCCAGGGGTGACCCACAGGGCGCGGCAGACCTCTCCTGACCCGCCCGCTGCTCCCCTCAGCAGTGGACTTCGTCAACCTGCCTGTCCTGCTCCCCGCTCTGTCTTTGGTAAATCCTCTCACCGTCCCTGCACCTCTGGCCTGTAACCCAGTTCTGTATGCATAAATAAATAAATCTTTTTAAAAAAAAAAAAGGACAGTGGATTCTGCCTGCAAATGCACACAATCCACTACACAGTAAGTTATTCTCATCAAAGTACACAAAGACCATTTAGATCTATATTGGGAAGTATTGGGAAAGAGGGTTCTCTTAATAGACTTTTCACATAATTGTGAATGTTTCTTCTCAGACCACAACAAAACTTAACAAGGTTTGTTTCTTGAAAGTCAGCTGCAATATGGAATGTGAAGCTTGGGAGTGACGTTCTGTGCTTGGCCTGGGAGAGCTCTCCAGTCTTCTAGCTGTCTGAAGGGCACTCTCCTCAGGCATGATTCTGTGATCTTAAGCAAAGGTCATTTGGGGTTATCAGTCCACTGACTTCTACAGACCTGTTTCATAAAGAAGTATTTTTTTTTAAAGATCACATTTGTTAGGTATCACTACTGATCTTAGAAAAGACTTTAAATATCGGGGAGCTGTCACACATTCACAGTGACAGGCACAAGTTTCAAAATTCTAATTTTGTTCTAAAGTGCTAATTTTATCATTGGGAACAAATACTGTCATAGGGTGTTGTTTTCTCCTCTCCTCAAGTGACAGCCTCACTCCAATTATTTTCCAGAAAATGTCTGCCAAATATCGTAAGTTTCCTGTCAGCTTTTTTTTTTTTTTTTAGTGAAAATGGTGTTTTTTTGCCAACCAAGACAATCAAAAAATGCTTTATGTGTACTTCCCAAAGACTTGTACTCCTCAGTTGCAATTTAATAATACTGGTACTTTATACTGGCTCATCAAGAGAATCTTCAGTAAAATCTTGCTGTTTCAAAGTAGCCACAAGTATATGATGCTGAAGAACCCAGGGACTGAGACCACCAGGCTCGTGTCTTACATCATGTCAGTGGGTGCAGTAAAAAGGCAAGTGGTTCAGCATCGTGTTGGAAACACGTTTCATGGGCTCCTGAATAGCCAGCCCCACTCTGCTCTCCCGGAGTCCTCAGATATATATTGAGAGCCGTAGTCATGCTGCATAGCACTCCATTTGTTTTACTCTTTAAATATCTCAGAGAGTCTTCCACAAAATGGATGTTCAAAAATTGCTTACCAAATTCAATTAATTTTATCCTTGCAAATTTGGTAATACATTTTAATCAGAAATAAATTCTCTCATGAATTAAGCTAGAAAAGGGCAGTTTACTTCATGTATGATGGGCACTAGGGAACCTCACACTTCATTTCCCTTGGTGATGATTTTCTTATCTACCATCCCCCCCCCAAAATAAGAGCCAATTTCTACCCACTCTCCCATTACCAATTAGAAGTGAACTGAAATGAAGGCCTCATTAGCCTAGTAGTCATTCATGTATTAGTACTTAATTGAAGGAATCATTTCAAAATAAAGAGGCAAATTGTTTAGGAGGCTTTATTCCCATAAACGCAAAGAAGAAAAAAGAAATTGGAGTGCTGTTTGTTACGCAGAGATAAGTGAAAAGAGGACAGTAAGGCGAGGTATGAAATCAGGCGCCAGCATGTGCTGGCTGTGAGTTCAGGGGCTGCTAATTTCTCTGCTCGATGTTCTCACCATGAAAGGCCTGCCCCTCCCCTGCATCTGGTGACGTCCTGGCCAGCTGCTTTCTCTCACCCCACTGCAAACACTCTCTGGTTACACTAAGTTCCTTTCCTCAGCATTTTCATCTCCCTATCTCATATGAAAGAAGACGCTGATTATTCCTCTTAAATTCCAGCCACCTAAATGCTGGTCACTATGTAAGAATGGCATTAAATGACACTGTTTTCATAACTCCAGAGAAGTCAGCCCATCAAACGAAAAAAATTATCTGTGATAAGACAACTGTAAAATCCTCAGAACATAGCTAAATAAAATCAGTTCTACGGAAATCAACTGTACACATCATATATATATAAGTACACAGCTGTGCTAGCAAAATATCAGGAGTGTTAAATCAGAGTAAAACATTACCAATAGCTTTCTTTAATGCTTCAAAGGTGATTTCTTCCGTGTTACTCACCTAGGAAAAATGCATTTAGGTAAAAGAGTTAGAAAGATCAATACAAACAGTACCTTCACTTAGTTTCAAGTCATCTAAGATCTACAATTATTTTCTTCTCTGTGTTTACATGATTTGTGATTATACTCCATGGTCTCAAATGCAAACAACCCCACTTTTTCACTGCTATGACAAAGGCCTGCTACAAGGGGGTCCCCAAATAAGTCTACTATAACATTAGCTTAGCATGTTGCAGGCAACTCAACCCCCACGGAGTGACAACTCAGCCTCTAGAAGCCAGAGGTGCAGTAAGGTCACGTCCTGCTGGCTGAACTATGCTTCATCAGATAACGGTGCTTTCAAATATTCCAGGCAGAGATTACACAGACAGTTAGAACTCAGCACCCTCAGCCTCCATAACTGTGGCACCACACACACTTACCAATGAAAAGTGAAATAAATGCCTACAAATGTTAATGTTTAAAAGCAAGAATCACTACTTGGGAAGAGGTCAATGAGCACTAGTTAGTAAGCACCTTTAAAAAAAATCACATTTTGGATCTTCTTAGGTCGATCCCCAAATCTTATCTTCTGAAAAAGACCCTTGAAATTGGGGGTTTCAAATCTCTCTTGCTCTAAGGCATAAAAAGGTTTACGACTGACGGCTGGAGACAAGTGTCAGTAACACTCCTGTGGCGGCAGCACGTTTCCGGGAGGAACCTTGCGGCTACTGTAGTGTCTCTGCTATGGGTAAGAAAGGATTCTCAATTACTTGGCTGGGGCCTCTGCTCGTCCCTAATTTTAGCTCCTAAGTTTAAGGCAGCAAGACCAGCGAAAGCAGGAGTCATGCTCTGCCCCTCGGCTTCTCTGCAATGCAAAGCCTGGGCTGGAAACCAAGCAGCAAGAGCGGCGGCCCCAGCCTGTCACTGAGGGTCCCCATCCCTAGTTGAGTCAGATTAAACTCTGGGGTCTTTTGTTGCTTTGTTCTAGATATTTGGAGCAGACAGTCAAGATTAGGTTGGGCTGGTCAATTATTCGTACTTAGAAACAATTTCACACTTCAGCGAAAAAAAATCCACTGTTGTCCTTACAACTAGTTAAGAGCTTTATGAGACTTTTGAGAAACAACTAGAGTAAGAGAAAGAACAAGAGAGAAGTTAAAGGTCAGCATTCTTGTCACACATCACTTTTTTTATTACCTGCTCAATCCCAAGTGATGAGGTAACTACTTTACCCTCTAATCTAACCTACCTCACCCAAAATCTTTCCTATTTGTTCCTGTTCCCCAAATATGGATTTTAGGACTCAGTCTCCCACCATCAAAAACCTCCACGTCATTTTGTCGTCCCCCCCCCTCCCATTTTTTTTTAACTTTTGCTTCTAAAATTCTTTTCAGCCTGTGGCTGCCCCACCCAGCCTATCTCCTGACCAGGTGCCCGCTCCGCCCAGCCTCCTGTCGCCACCTGGTTCCTCTAGTTCAGCCTCCTAGCTTGGCTCCCCTGGCTGATCTCCCTTTGCTAGCTGAGCTGAGGCACATTTCTGAAATTCCTTTACTGACGCATAGCTCCCAGGGACACAGCCCGAATTCCAGCATGTACCTGCTCCCTGGCAAATTACACAAAGAAGCCTCAACCTGGTGACAAAACCTTCATATATCTGACTTCCAGCTTGTTTCCTACTCTTCCCTTTGGTGGATCCTACTTAAAATAAAGAAGGCCCCATTGTTTCACATTGAGGTTTAACGGTTTGTATTTTTCATACAATGCAGCTGCTACTTCATCTGGGGTCACGCAGGCTACCTGTCCCAAGCTACAGAAAGACTGGGTGTGCTGCTGTTACGGCACCAGGCACAGGAGCTTCAACATCCCTTTTGCTCTTTAAGACTCCTGCCCTGCTCATGAAGTGCAACTCTAACCAAGACGCTAACACCCTGGGGGCTGCTTAAAATCTGTTACTCATCTGTTTCCAAACAAAATAGCTGTCACTTCCACTGATACCTTAGTAATTTTACGGCACCTAGTACAGCTGTCTTGATGCTAGAATTCTTGTTTTGTTAGCTCACATACAGTTATCTTCAGCTATATTTGGGAAAAAGGCAGGAATATTTATATATAAAATAAAGATTCTGTTATGTGTGTAAACAACAATCTTTAGAATCAACCAGTGTTTCAATTTTATACCTGAAAAATACAGTAAGTACTCAAAATTTAATAAATATAAGCTCCCATCCATATAACCCCAAATAATTTAGCACTGACTATTACCTTTTAGAGAGAAGAACTAAGTACTGATTTCAGGCTATACTCATATGTACATTGTGTATATTAATCATGTCTACAAAGCTCAGAAAGAGTTCTGGAAATCAAAGGACATGACTGTAGTGCTTTACTAGTCAACCTGATAATTTTATCTCAGGAGGCAGGGACACCTCTATTTCATTTCAGTCAGTTATCTTCTTGATTAATTTAATTTAGATATCTTCATATATACATAGGGAAATTTACAGAAAAAGTTTACTAAGTGACTCATGGTGGGCTAAGATTTGAATTGCAAACATTAGAATTTATGTATCATAAGTGGAACAGTCAATTCAATAATTCTATAGTAACAATTTGTTGTATCTAAGGAAGACAGAAGCTTACTAGGATTTCTATCTAAACAATTTCTGACTAAGTTTAAGCTCTAAAGAAGGGGTTAGATATAACAGGATAAACTGGGATATGTATTTAAAATTTCAATTTTGATCACATACAAGAATAATGCTTTTTAAAATAAGCAATTGTCTTATATGATTCACTGCTAGCAAAAACACTTATTCATAATTTAGTATTTTGCTGCACCATTAATTAGTGAATACATAAATGACGTGAATTTCAGTGCTACGAAATTAATTAGTTTTAGCCCAGAAGGTAATGTTATTCTGTCTTCTGGATTCGAACAACCATTCTTAACATGCACAATTAGATTTCATAATGGTAATGAATATAAAACTCAAATGTGCTCAAGTAAATCTTGTAACAATTGCACTTACATTTTCAAATGCTTAAATGTGAGGCACATTTGACTTAGGGCCTACCACCAAGAGAAAACAAGGGGTCTTTAAAAAAGCCAACCAATGTGTTAATGGGCTTTTCGTGTTAAATTTATGCTCAAGAATTTCCCTATATTGTGCCTTCATGCGAATTTTTTCAGCTTATCAAAATAGACTGGTTTTTGGTTCACAGTTTGAAATGCTACATATGTATATTTAAAAGAAATAACAATGGTTAATAAAAGAAATATGAGTCAGTAAAACAAACTGCACTCTGACAAAGTGTAAAGATGAAGGCTTTAGATGAATTTTTCCTTCAAAAAGTAAGAGCAGCAAATTCATAACCATTAAAAACAAGGGTTAACAAGAAAGAAGTATATAGATTAAATTGGCTTTGAAGAGGTGAATGTAGGGAAGGTGATTTTTCTTGAGTATTAAATTGACAAGAAACTTTAAAACAACTGAAGTTTCTAAGTTAACCACTTCTTCAATGACTGTTGGTGTTCTGTTGGTAATTTCCTGATAAAACTGATTGATTCTACATAAAAGACAGCTGTGTAGCATGGAAGAGAACAATGAGGTGGCAGTAACCTGGCCACCAAATAGTGTGAATACCTGAAGACAAATGAGCTGACAGGGACTGAAGGAGGGTGGAGAAAGAAGGCTGAGAAAGCGTGAATTCAGACAACTCCCTTCCCCTTTTCTTATATGGATGTTCTTTTAATGATATATATCATACCAAGGAGAAATAATGAAGTACCTAAGGCAAACAATGGACAAGCCACGAGGAGGAGGCTGACTTGACATGCTGGCATTTCGGCTTTTTACTTGACTATCAAAAAATTCTCTGGTGATCTGTGTGGAATAAGTCCTAGAGCACACTGGCTGCTTTTTCTTCCTATAACTCAGGAGGGTACACTCTTGTGCTCTATTGAAACAGGAGGAGAGTATTAAATCTGCAATGTCTCAAATAAGCCATAGTCCTTAAGGAGTACATAGATCACCAATAAGCCTAACTTACATGAAATTTGTTATATTTACTATCCATAATCAAAAAAGTTTCCCTCATAGATGACATTTTAAAGCTATTGAAAGTAGTGAGCATCTGACTTTATATAAGCATTATAGTTCCATTTATTCTCATAATTTATGTTTCTTAAATCATTAGACAATAAGGTCTAGATGGTGTACTTTTTAATAATAGGACCTGTGTAATATTTTTTTACTTATGAAATATTTTATTTGTCTTATAGCTCTTAGACTACACCAAATTAGATTGTAAAATTTAATGACATCACACAACATACATAAAAGTTAAGTTTAGATATCTTTATAGACAGATGAAAAGCATTCCATCAAATAACTCATGAATAAAGTCAAGACTAACTCAACAATAACTTCTACTAACAATATATTTGATTTAGAGATAATTTAGAATTGTATTTGCTCCTGTTTGAAAGTTTGGCAGTACAAATATTTCTTTTAAAGTGGTATCTATCGCTACATAGTACTAAGACATAAATGGGAACAACTCACCACGTCATCAGAAGGAAAGCTGTGGGGTAAAATGTCCACCTGAATGGATACGGTGTCCACGACACTTTTTCTTCTAGAGTGTCGATCTTCATCTAAAATAAAAAAGTTTCCACTTATTTGCAAGTTAGAAACAGTGTATCATCTGTAAACACTACCTATTTTTAATTAAAAAAAGATAAAAATTTAAAAAGTTGTCTTTTTTACTCTTCCTAAGCTACAAAGCAACATTTTCTCAGGCTCACAAATTTCATGAAGCTTTAAAAGTAAACCTGATGGGGTGAACTGAAATACTGTTAATAGTTTATTTTCCAAAATGAGGCATCTAGAACAGCTACTTCAAAGACCACTAGCAACGTTTAGTGACTAGCAATGTTTAGTTAAAAATAATAACAATAGGCCCTCCCTGGTGGCGCAGCGGGTTAAAGCACAGCATGGAGAAGCTAAAGCCACTTCCACATGAGTTCGATTCCCACCTGCCCCGGAGGAGACCACATGGCGTGGCAGACTTCTCCTGACCCGCCCGCTGCTCCCCTCAGCAGTGTACTTCGTGGATCTGCCTGTTCTGCTCCCCACTCTGTCTCTGGTGAAGCCTCTTGGCGCCCCTGCACCTCTGGCCTGTACCCCAGTTCTGTATGCATAAATAAATAAATCTTTAAAAAAAAATAATAACAATAATACCAAGAGGAGGATGAAGTCTACACTGAAAAATTCAGTTTAATTCAAAATTCACAATAATTACCCATATATATCTCTAGCTTTCCCACGAAACAATTAAAGTTGACAATTATCTCTAGTTCAAGGTTGGTCATTTGGTAACCCATATCCCAAAGTGTTTACTGTGAATTAAAATTTATGAATTAAAAGAATCTTCTATTTCAATTAACAACTCCATCCCTGAATCCCTTACCAGCCTTGTAGTCAAGACATGTAAATAAATATGTCCTCTGCTCAAACATATAAGAAATACAGAATATGCTGTATTCTGAATTCTGAGAGTCCCTCAAGTTCTGCTGTATGAAGGTTGGTGGCTATGAGCTATGAATACATAAGTCAACTGTGACAGAGTACTACATATTATATTACTACAGTTTTCAGGCTGAACTACTTTATCTTCCACAGGTGGCTATTCCTGAGCTGAGCTAACCTAGAACTATATTCCCTCATGTATCCTTCGTGAATGTATGCTCTGACATCAATTAACAAACATAATGACATCAATGAAACTGGCACAAAATAGCATGAGGTCATCGTTGCTGACTCACTTTTAACTTCGAACTAGGCCAACTTTCAAGGTCTCACCAGAACTCAAAATGAGGCTCAAATAATAGCCTGCCTCTCACACAAAAAAACCCTCACACAAGAATTTCTAGGTTAACCTACAAAGGCTTATGGTTTGTAGAGAAGAGTAAAATTGAAGCCCAAGTTAAAAATAAACAGACAGGCAGGCGCGGGCGCAGAGAGGGATCAGTGAGTGGCAAAACCCAGAGGACAGAAGGAAGTGTAGCAGGCAGTGATTTAAGAATGATCAGCAATATTGAAAAGGAGGAAATCAAATTTAGTGGGAAACTCTGCATTCTCAGAACATTTTTCCCTCAGACTTACATATGCTTACAGGTGACTGAAGAAAATCCAGGCACAACTCTCATCAGATCTCTCACACAAGTGCATGAAAGGCAGGTTTCAGCGTTCCCGCGCGCCGTCTGTGTCTGCTGTTTCCAAAGCTACGGACACCAGGCTCGCTGTGGCCTGGTGCCAGACTGCGGCACTGGCCCGCTGCCCTGGCTGCCCGCTGCCCTGGCTGCCTCACCGTGACGAGTGCAGCTGGCTGTGCAGCTGGCTGGCCTGCACAGCTAGACCCCGGCTCCCCTCCCTCAGGCTGAGCTGGGAGTGGGGGGTGCCAGACTCTACTCCCCATGCGCTGCCCGTTTCCCACCTCTCTGCCTTCTCCTGGTCACCATGATGACCATCATTTCCCCTTTTTTTTTCCCTGGAGCCTGCATAGGAAGCGGTCCTCACTTCCTTCAGTGATGCTCTGCTGCCACCTGGTGTGGCTGTAGAGAATGTTTAGAATTGCATGAAGATGATTACAGCCTGGAGAAAACTGCTGGGATATAATCTGGCACAGAACCGCATTAAATGACTCTCAATATAATACTTTTAATCAGTAAGACAAAAGAACAAAATTCTGAGTGCCAACTGAAAGATTAACGACTGAAAAATCTTAATACCATTCTGATATTTATGTGGCATTTTACAGTTGTTAGAAGTGTTTTCATATGTGTGTGTACACACACGTACATGTACATACATATACATACACACACATCCCATCAGAGCTAAGCATGTTCTGGAGCTTAGAGGCCACAGCCTGTGCTCTACATGTAAGGACAAGGGACACTGAACGTTGACGGGTCAGCCTAGGACCACTATCGAGAGTAGGTCCTGTCTTCATTCTCCTTCTCTTCACTTTTTCACTTTGAGATGTTATCCTCCCTAAAAGTTTGACAGAACCCTCTATGCGCCTGCTCACATTATTTGGATGCTCCACTGTCAAAGACACTCTCAAACGCAGACCTCTAAAACCAGTCACTCTTTCCAATTCGTGCGTTACTAAACCCCATTTTTCTATCATCCGTGATTCAAAACTACTTAGAGACATTCTGAAATGTGAACCTCTCCCTTTCTTCACTTAAACCCAGTCACATTATCCATCCTTCTTAATAAAACAAAACAAACCCAGGCTGGGAAGCAGTGATCTGTCCTTTCCAGTGCTCTGCCATCCACTCAAGCACTCAGGCACGAACCAAGACAAAGACTTTGACTTTCTCTCTCCCCACCCATCTGGATCAATAAGGACAGCAACAGAATCTGAGTACTTAAAAAATAGCAAAAGTATCAAACTTGTGAGAACCTAACTGGACATGTGAGGTGGTTAATTCCAGGGGGGTCATCTTATCAAATCATTTAATTTCAGCTTTCCTCCTCCTACTTGTAGACAAAGATAATGCTACCTTCCTCACCAAACTATTTTAAAGGTGAAAAGAAATATCGAATACTACATGCTGATCACAGTGCCTGGCACACAGTTAGTGCACAGAGAATAGCAGCTGCTGTCCTGAGGAAGACGGTGAGCGCATAATATACAGCGCATTCCATAGGTTACACTTTTCCTTCTGATATCGTTTTCCTCTTCATTTTTAAAGTGAATATCTGATGGTTAGGCAGCAAAAGGAAATTTTCAAAACTGACTGCTTATTCCATAAATTATCACTGTCTCTTCCAAGTCCTTCCACATATTAAGACAGACACAGGTAGCACTCACTGGTTATCAAAGACTTAAAAAATCACATCAATCATACTCAGCATCAGTACCTGACCAGCAGACTTCTCTGCAGTTAGTTAGTGAAGTATAGACGAAAATACATATTTATATATATACATATATCTGGATTTGAGGGAAGACCAAACTACATGCTTAAAAGAAAAGTGCCAGCTAGTCATCAGCCACTGCTGAGAGGAAAAGGGGGCGGGTAGAAGACAGAACAAGGGAGGAAATGCACTACAGCTGCGGGTCAGGAGAGCAAACTAGTAACTGACCTCAGCACCACACAGACGCAAGGCCACTGCCTCCCTGGGGTGGGGTAAGGGCAGGTCAACTGCCATAGATTTACCTTTGTACTTGTGCCTGGGTTTATGAGGCTTTTTGCCTGAAGGAAAGAGAGCTGAATCCAAATTACAAGAATGAAATATTTCTTAAGTCTTTAGAGAAAATCTTTAAAATTACATAGTTTTTAACTAATGATTTATTCTTAACACTTTTATTTCTCCCATGGAATTCATGAGGAATAAAATCTTTTATACTATGAAATTTGAAAGAAATGCACTAATCTTTCAGACTACTGTGAGTGATTATTACTGCAATGAAAGTATACACTAGGGTCCGTATTATTAAAATGAAAGGTACTTAGAAAGATCGTGCCACTTTCAAGTGATCGATACAATCAAACACTTCCCTTAGATGCCCATAAGAACTAGTTCCTCTAACTAATATTTATACAACGATCGAATAAAAATGAAACTCAAAGATATAAATTCATTGACGTTAGTTTTTAAAGTGAAACTGAGCGCAAGTCACCATCCGGTTTTGCCCAGAAATGCAACAGAGCCATCTGAGATAATGGAGAGAATAGAAGGGAAAGTATAGGACAGAGGAGAACAGATTTTTTAGTTAAAAGGTTTGCAGGTTTCTATTCACAATTGGAAAGACATGGAAACAGCCCAAATGCCCAAAAATGGATAACTGGATTAAAAGATGTGGTCCATATACACAATGGAATATTACTCAGCAACCAAAAAAAAAAAAGAAACACGTCTTTTGCAGCAACATGGTTGGAGCTGGAAAAGATCATGTTTAGTGAAATAAGCCAGAAAGAAAAGGAGAAATACTGGGTGGTTTCTCTCATAGCAGGAATATAACAAAACAGGTGAGAAAATCATGATAATGATGAACAGCTATATACCAGAGACATTTTGTGGGGGTGGAGTGGGGAACGGGATCAAAAAGAGTGGGGGAGGGAAATGCACTGGACTATGGTGATGGCACAGGGTGATTTGGTGATGGGAAACCCAAGGGGATTGCAACTGAGGTGGAAAAATGCACAAAAACATGTAAAGATAAACTATTATAAAATTAAAAAAAAAGTTTGCAGGTTTCTTTACAAATAATCTCTACACTTACAAAAAGAAAAGCATTGCCTAATTCACTAAGTTCAATAATCACAAATTACTAATTAGTTAATTTTCATGAGTTTCTATCAGTTAAGTTCAATACTGGTTAATAAAGAGCTCACTCTGCTGCTCTGTCTAGCATCTAGTCTCGTTACTGAGTACGCTAACATAGTAGCGTAACAGCAATAACAGTCTCACGAAGACTGAATGTGCTCATGAAAATAGGCCTACAGAGGTTTGTGAAAGAATTTTAAGACCAAACTTTTAAAATAGAAGCTCTCTTAAGGATTTTGAAAAAGCCGTGATATACAAGCCTACAAAGAATCCTTGCTGCTAACCCGAGTCTACAGAGCCGGAGTCTGCACTTACCTGTGACCTGCGGGACGTAGGGCACCGAAAGCCTGTCCACACTATAGCCGCTTCCGCCCAGGGACTCTGAGATCTTATTGACCAGAAAGTACAAATTGTTATCATGCTTCTCTAAAGACTTGGGAAGCCTGTTGAGTTGATCAGAACAAAAGGCATTTAGGACTATTACTGAGCAAAAACAAGTGAACAGGCAAACATTCTAGATCAAAGCCCGAATGGCATAAATGCAACTTACACTGCTACTAGTACAACTTACACTGTTACTTGTAACAGAAGAACCAGCGTATTTTAGGTGACTGATTCGAGTCAACTAAATACACATGGTATTAGCCCTTTTGCTGGGATCATCCCCCCATAACACTCCTACAGTAAAGCCAGTCTTACATTATTCTTCTGGTTTTCACATGTGAAATGAAAAGGGCTAAATTCAGCCTTAATTTTTATGCTCACTAAAAATCTGAGAGAAGAAACTAAACGTACTGTTGACTTGACATCCCACTGACTTTTAATGAAACAAAGATCAGGAAACTCAGTGATGGAAAGCAGTGGCCCAATCACAAAAGGTTTCACGTTCCTTCAAACTGATGGATATAATCTTAATTTGACACTCTCAAAATTAAACTGCTTTTAGAGTCCAAAAGTTTCAATGAAAATTCTGAAAAGAATACATATGTTTTTTGTTTGGACAGCACAGAAGAATGCATTGTATTAACTTACTGACTTTCCTTAATACATTCCTTCCCTCACAATTTTATGAATATTATCTATTGTTCAAAGTCTTGAACAGGATATTGTACTCTCTTAAAAGAGTGTCACTTATATATGAGAACATTCTTTATTTAAGAGATTCCTCTCCACATTAAAAACAGATAAAAGTCTTTTCATTAAAGACTGACCCTGTGTGTGGGACCACATTTGTAATATACAAGAACTTTTATGGCAAAGGGATGATTAATGGACAGAAACACAAACTAATCTTTATGAAACAACAGAAGAGTATTTCAACAATAGTTTACTCTTTTATAATCACTGACTGGTTGCCCTACCCACTTCCTAAAAATGTAAAGAATTAGCATACATGCACTTATCTCTGAAAATATGCTCTGGTAGAAAATAAGGGGCTTCCATAGTTCGAGTTTCAATAACCTGAAAAACATCCAAAAACAAAGCAAAAATCAAAAACCTCACCTTTTCTGGACCTTGTTATGAAAATTTGGAAAACAAAAGGATCAGAAACAGTAAATTAAGACATGCTATCACTATATTCTGGAACTTAAGCTATGTTTACAGCCCAAGTGCAGCATTCCCTTTGTCCCCACATTTATTCTTTTTAAAATATCATTAATGGTAATAAGAGAAATACAAATTAAAGCCATAATGAGATACTACCTCACATCAGTGAGAATGGCTCATCTTGAAACAACTAACAACAAATGTTGGCAAGGATATGGAGAAAAAGAAACTCTCCTGCACTGCTGGTGGGAATGCAAACTAGTACAACCACTGTGGAAAACTGTTTGAAAAACTGTTTGAGGTTCCTCAAACTGCTAAACATGGAGCTTCCCTACGACCCAGCAATCCCACTCCTAGGTATCTACCCAAAGACACAAAAACACTGATTGAAAAAGATACTTGTTCCAGCCCTCATCTGTGAGCGACATGGGGCACTCTCTGGTCTGATACTCATCTCTCCAGGGACCAGTCTCAACCACTCACACAAACACTGTTTAATGAATGAATGTGTTTTACCTTTCCGAATATACTAGAAACCTACATTTTAACAAAGGCACACAGATGTACCTTCAGTTCCATAAAAATGAGCTTCTCCCTGACGGATGTCTCTAAAGAATTAACATTACAGTGGACTTTTTGCCATGTAAGTTAGGGAATTCTGAAATGTATATTAAAACCATATAAGGTTTTAGTTACTACTGTAAATAGCAAAATGACACAGCAAATCTGAGAGGCACGTTAATTATTCAACTTTGGAGTAGAACAGTTCAAGTAGATTAGAATAATTACAAAAACAGTATAATTGAAAAATATTTGTATGTAAACACTGTTTAACGAATGAATTTTACTATTTTTAAAGATTTTATTTTTATTTATTTATGCACACAAGAACTGCATGTAGGCCAGAGATGTGGGAAATGAGAGGATTCACCAGAGACAGAATGGGGAGCAGAGCAGATGGATCTACAAAAATACACCACTGATGGGAGCAGTGGGAGATACAAGAGGGGTCTGCTGTGCCCTTGGGTCAGCTCCCTGTCAGGGGTGGAACTCACGCTGCAGCAGCTGGTGATAGCTTCATAGTGCTGAGACTTAACCACTGCACCACTAGGGAGCATTCTAGAAGAAAATCATGCAGACTACTCAACCATTATATGTAAAAAAAAAAACTAACAAAATAGGCATCGAAGAAAATATATAACAAACACAGCAGTTTTGATTTAGTCACAGGGTAACATTACCTTAATTTGAAACATAATCATCAAAATTAAAAATCATCACTAGAAAAAAATATAGTCCTTTCTGTGTAAAAGTCAAATTGAAGATCTCTTCTAAATACATTGCCTTACCTTGCTAACATGCTGGCAAAATGCAGGGACAGCGATCATCTGGCTGACGAAGTTGAGATACGCCGCGACCAAAGCCATGATCCCGCAACGGTGGAACATGGACAGGTTGTCCTCATTGATGATGGCGCTGTCCTGTACCAAGACACAGGCGCAGGTGAGGGCTCACAGTCTATGTGTCCCACCTGTATGTCTCTCTGCTCACACTGAAGACTTATCGGTGGTTTGGAATGTCAACGCAAACGTCACCTTGTAAAAAGTTACTTTTTTTTTTAATGCCCCTTTACAGAAAAGTCTTTCAATTCCAATAGGTCTCCCCAGGCAGGACTTCAGGGACACGGGGAGTGGGGAGACACACAGACAGACAGACATAAGGACACACACACACACACACGCGCGCGCACACACTCTCCACATACAGAGAGCTTCCACTTGCGTACTCTTCTTTGGGCCGAAACACTTAAACCCCAACTAACCAACTGCAGGTGTGTAATCATCATTAATGAAGACTCCCACTGTATGGAGCGCGGGCACAGGGCGCCGCCGCCTTTCCCATCACAGTATGCTACGGCCTTGACCTGTAGCACACAGTGTTCATTCACCATTGGCTCAAAGGAAAAGAACGTGAGCAAGAACTTAAGTATTCTTTATTTAAATGCAGAAGCCTCCCTTTCAAAAGTCATGTTCTTGGATAAAGGCAACACTTTATGGTGTCTAAATCATAAAAAAGCAATTTTCCATTGAAGCATACCTGTAAAGCAACGGCTAACCGAATGAGATCAATAACCACTTCTTCATTTGCCAACTCAATAGTCATGAGAGCAAGAGAAGTATAAAGTAGCTCATAGTTTTTCTGAACATTGTCTTCTTCTTTACAGCCCAAGTATATATGCCGATAGAGCTGCTGCCCATTCTTAAGGAAATGACAGGAGAAAGAAAAATCGTGTTTAAAGCGTGGTAAAGGCAGACCACAGCATACAGAAGCCACCCTACAACACAGCTATTTTAACATGGAAAGGAAATGTAAGTGGACAATTAGATATTCAAATTGCATTCCAGTTATTAACATGAACGAATGTACTAGTGTAATTACAAAATAACACTAGGTTGAAGAACAAACCTTAAATGAAAGTAGCAAGAAACAGTTTCAGTGTAAACAATGAAAGTGGTTTTAGTAATAATGTGAGGAGACAAAAACGAATTATAGATTAATTTGAGAAAAAAACTGAAGTGGAAGCAGAAGTAGAAGACGCTTTCTGCTGCACAGCTGCAGTGACAAAGCATGCTTGCTGAAGGGGCACATCCTCAGGCTTTCTTGCCTCCGGATCACTCTCTGTAACATGGGTCAGGAGGTAGTCAGGGAAGAGCACCTATGGGTTTGCTACACTCCGGCACCAGTCACCACAGCAAGTCTGGGGGAGAGGGAGGGGTCACAGGAACACCCCAGGATTCACAGAGCTTTCCCCCTAAGCCAAACTAATCGAAACCTGTTAAAAAGGACGAACACTTTGCAGCCCTAGAGTGCCCTCAGCCCAGCCCTGACCGCCAGGCGCAACCAGAGAGAAGGCGTGCTGCCCATTTCAAGTTACAGGGGAGCTGACTCCAGGTGTTTTTTCTTTTTCTTTTTTTTGGTGGTAATACCTATTTTCGAAAATTTATAGCAGTGGTACAAACATGGGTCAATAAAAGAGCCATTAAAGTGGAATCAGTATGTACGTGAGGGGTGAGCAGCAGTGCAGGGCAGAAAGCATGAAGCAATGCACAACTATTACAGCAAGCCCACAGTCCAATGCTCCCGCACAGTCGGTCAGTTAGGATTTAAAAAGGTGGGGAAGCTCAAAGTGGGGGTGTGAGGTTGTAACTCCAGATTCCATCACTTCACCTTCACCGGACTCCACGACAAAACAGCAAATGCAAACAGATAAAGCATATCACACATTTTCTAAGAGACAATCTTACCTTTTTCATGAAACTTGTATCTTGTCTACAAATTTTTTCTCTTTTTATCTTTAGGTCCGCTACATCTGGTATTATTCTAGAGACAATCAATGCATCATTCTTAATAAATAGCACATTTAGTTACAATTTCTAATCAGTTACATTTAGGATTTTGTACTATTTGCACTCACTCCCCTAAGCATTTTAAATAAGTCTATATGTAGTGATATCTCTGAGCTGCCAAGTTTAATTAAAGAGCACTGCATAAAGCAATCTCGACTTCTAGTGTTCTTCCTAAGTTTGAAGCAAAACCAAAATAAAATTCACGTAACTCATGAATGCTAATAGATAAGATCACTGAGAATACAAAAGACATTAAAGCATTTGTCTTAAAATCTTAAAATATACAGCTAAAATCCCTACAATAAAAGAACCATAATGCTCAAACACATGTGAAAACTTTAAAATATCATCATTAGATCTAGTGACAAATAGCAGTTACCTGATCCCTCGAAGCTTTGCCCTATTGTCATGGCGATCCACGAGATTATGCATGACTTCTAAGACTAACTGTCTCAGTTCATAATCTTCCATGAGGGATGGTGATAACAAAGGATCCAGAAAAGACCCAGGCAGGGCAGTAACAATAGTCTTAGCTTTGTATCCCGAGGTTACCTGATTATAGGGAAGAAAGAAAAAAAGAACAGCAAAGTACCTTTGCCATGACTCCTTCTTCGGGAAATTCTCACAAGAACCTTAAAATTAGGGACTAGCAAGTATAGACATGGTCTGAATGAAAAATAAAAAGGCAACCTGTCTACAAGGTGCTGAGGATCTGACTGAACATACAGGAACAGCACGTAAAGAGTAAATTAGTAAGCGCGCATTTACCACGCGCGTGTCATAAGCCCAAGCACCTGTGCACCGGTTTACTGCCCTTCACATGCCTGTGAGTACACCGACTCCCATCTTACAAAGGGAAAGTGAGGCTGAGAGAGGTTCAGGATACATGGGAGAGCTGGTCATTACTAAAGGAGCAAAGGAGATTAAGTAGCAAAAATAGGGAAGGCTGAGATTTTACAATTTAAACTGATGATTATTCTTTGATTTTAAAGGAAGCAGTTTAAATTACTGATACATTTTCATTTTCCAAAACAATTACCCAGTCACTTGACTTGACATCTGAGTATATCCCTCTGTTCTAAACAAAGTTTTAAAGTATGTACTTAATAAACACTATTAAATATTTTAACTATAAGTGCATGGACTAATAATTCAGTTGATTATGTGGTTCAAGTAAGACTGGAGGCAAGATGATTTACTTGGGGAATTTAATAAAAAGGCTTAGAATCAAATGAAATTTGAGGTTAAATTTTCACTCACAATTGTAGGCAGATATGGAACACAAATCATTTATATTTGGTCTAATTCACTCAAAGATGAACTATATGACTATTTTATAGTCACTATAAAATATACAGTAAGTACCACAGACCTCACACTTTAGGTATGCCTGTATTCTGAACAACAAGCCAGCCTTTGAAGAAATAGCATGATAACTGGACAGCATGGTGGGTACCTCAAGCCCAAGCACCATTCTCCTGCTCAATACCTTGAGGAACCCCCAACTCCACTCCACAGGGTCCCTGACCAGGCAGATTCATGTACCAAACGTTAACACTTCGTGGCCTCTCTTGTGTTAGACCATGAGGACCAAGTAACAAGTATTAAGTAAAAGTAAATGAAATTAAGTGTAACAAAAGAAAATGCAAAAAGCATAATATTTAAATGTCTAGACCACAGGTAAAAGCTAACCATAAATAGCATCTTACAATGTAAGAAAAAGCAGCTGATAGTATAAAGCTATTCTTTTCACTCAAACAATCTGAGATGAAGTCAGATTCACCTGTTAAACGTCTTACCATTAGCAAAGATCTCAGCAACATTATCTGAATCCGTCTGGTCCCTAAATCCCTAAAACACACAAAATACTGGTATTATGCTATTAATAGTAATTAATATTATTTCATTTATTTATATTATCATTTTCTGATTTAAAAACTCCACTCACTGGCGGAGCACATTTTACTTTCATACCAGCTAAAGTCATGGCCCACTTTACATGCTAAGGCAATTTTCACGTGACTTAAATATTAAGAAATAAAAAAATATATTTAAAATTCACTGGTGCTCAGAGAAACAGGCCTATTTGAAAATTAAATCATGAGAGAATACAAATGAATAGTGCAAACTAAAGACACTGTGACTGAAGACATTTGGTGCAAATGCAAGAAACATGCACTGCACCTAATGAACACGTAACAATAAGAAAGAATAGACAGTTGAAGAAATAATTAAAAAAAGGACTAAAAAAATTTTTAGATTGCTTTCAGCTGAAAGCTGATAAGCCAAGCTTAGGTTCAAATTCAGTCTGGGAAAGCAGGGGAAGGACACGCATACCCAAGCTGGCTGACATCCAGAGAGTGGGTGCTGGTTCCAAACACCGGGACTTTCCCCATAATGAACATCATGATTTCTGACCTCTGATAATCTGGCAGGTTACTTCCAAAAAACCCTATAAAAAAGTTAAGTTAAACTTATGGTAAGTCTTATAAACTTGAAACTACTTTTTCCAAATAATATAAGATTATAAAATATTTTGAACTGAAACTTTTAATATGTGGTAAAACAATATCTTCCAGCTTCATGTAACCCTAAAGATATGAGTTCATTTGTTCAAAATAATTTAATCATGTATGACAATGGCTAAACCTCTGATAAAATAAAGTCCTGTGCACATATTTAACAGTGAGAGACCACTGTTAATCTGAGTTAAGTGGCATTTTAGAAAAAGCAAAAACAAAGTATGGGAGCATTTCAGGTGAAAATGCTTGTTCGCATACTGTAGGTCTAGACTCCTGCTCTGTGAGGAAACAAAATGGTCAGTAATGAGGCTACACGTCATCTGGTGAACAGGGCCACAGCTTGAGCACACGGTGTCCTAGGACGCTGACATGTTTGAAAATGCCACTACAATGAGCCACGTTTATAGTGTAGCACTGTAGGTTAATTCAAGATATATAATTCTACTTATGTTAAAAAAAAAACAATAAATTTTCTTGTTTTCTTTCCCTCATGTATACTTAAGATTTTCTGTGTATTTTTATTCTGTAGCTTTCGACAGTTTTCTTTCTTATCCTAGGAGACTTCACAGCACTTAGTTATCAATTTTTCAGACTTCAAACTTCACTATTTCTTTGAGAGATCAGAACATATGAGATGATGGTAGTTTTGTTCAATTATTAAAATGTAACAATCGTTAAAGAAATCTTCTACAATTACATATTTCTTTTATAAACTTTTCAATGTAATCCGTCAGCTTCCAGTATCAGAATAAATAATTCATACAAATTCAAACTGCTCACTCTTGGGACCCTCGGAAACAGGGATGAGAGGTTCAAACGTCGCATTAGAAATCACACAGCTGAGCCTGATTTCCACAATCACGCTACTAGCACTCTCTACTACCACCCTTCTGTAATGTTAGTCCTTGTAACTTTCCAAAAACCCAATCAGGTACGCTCTTCTTCAGTGACCAAAATGGACATGTTATGACCCAAACAAACTACCACAATCTCTGGGGATGGGCTGAAAGTGCCTCACTCTCTACACCTGTCGTTTATTGTTGAATGTCAGGGAGCCTTGTCCTTTCAAAGAAGGCAGAATTAGGCCAACAACCTCATCATTTGAAGTACAAAAGCTACAACGTCCCTCTTCCACTGCCCACCAAAGGGAATATCCAGGCCATCTGAAAACTTCTAAAGAAAATAATAAGAAAATCAGAAGTGTTTTTGAGATAAAAATCTTACTGTGGCACCCTGCATTTCTTTTCTCTCATTTTAATTTTCACGTTATTTTGAATACTGTTACATCACAGAAATACAAATCACATTTTATAATAAAACACTTGAGAAACACATTAATATTCTAGAGTGAAACAGTAACAATGAATTAAAGTCACTAAAGCAATTTAATTTGGTGAAAACATGAGTTGATTTGATACACCATCTTAATGCATTACAGAAATTCCTTAAGTACCTTACATAAAATGTAGGCTTCACAATAAAAGACAGGCTTACCATACACTGATACTAACTTTTTAGTCTATAAACAGACTATCTCAACTTTCACGAGATTCCACGGAAATATGGTCTTTTCAGTCATCCCAAACACACCCAGTCGGAGCCAGTGTTCTGAACACCTGCCTGGGCCTCTGTGCTGTGCAGGACACCCCCATATTCCAAAGCAAATGTCGAATGTGGATGCAGCGCACTTGCATTTACAGCCATAAAACTTTGGCAACAAGGACCAGAGAAAGCTTTGCACTAGGCATTCCAAAGCACTGTTGCAAAACAAGTGCCCTCCGATGGGAGAATGACCCAGATAAAAGACACCATTACTTATGACTCTCTTTAGCAGAAACTGTCAGTCACCATTAGAAATTAGACATTAAAGCCCAAGAATACAACTGAACTTTAAAACTATCACAGGAATCATGTAGTTACATTAAAACATTATCTGTCTACTCTAAAGGTATTAAGTGAGGAGAATTATAGTAGGAACAAAGTTTGCTTGCCTTACTTTTATTTACATATAGTGATCATTTCATTTCCCAAAAAATTTTCATGCTTTGTGTTCTAACCACTGTGCTGGAGGAAAAAAAAAGAGATGGCTCCAAGGACTAGATCATGCTTGGTTTTACTGACACTGAGAACTGTTTTCTGGTCATGTAAGAAAATACCTTTATTCTTTAAGAAGCATGCACTGTGGGAAAGGACCCTGGTGTATGTGCACTTACTATCCAGTAGTCCCAGCAAACCATGCACACCTGCCCTCCATCTACACATGCACACACACTTGTCCAGCTACAGGCATGCACACGGGTCCCACACGCTCTCAGAGACGGAGGGAAAGGAGGCGTACAGGCACATGACGAAGTATTAACAGAGCCCAGTGTTCTACGTTCACTTGGCAAATATGCTTTTGAAGAGTCTCTGCTACCATTCTCCCCTGACTGTACTCTCAGAACCCAGTATCTTCTGTGAGCACTTTATGACCAGTGTCCTACACAAGTTTTGAAGCATCTGCTGCACTCACCTATTGTTTGGATGATAGCGTTCTGCACTATCTTCTCATCGTTGTCTTTGGAACCTGTGTTCAAGTTGGCACTGCTTCCAGAGCCCCCCTGCAAATCATTGGCTTCAAATTCCACACTGAGTCGCAGGTGCTTCAGCAGCGTGTTAAAAACTTCCAGCACTGTGGGTCCTGCAAGTCACCACCGATGTGAGCAGACATACCTTTCCGGTGCTATGTAACCAACATCAATTTTCCTATTTCTCCACATTTGGGGAAACTTTCTAAATATTTGGAAATACCTAACAATGCATTACTTAACCAGCTCATTTAAAAAAGTACTTAAGTAAGAAAGTCCCCTAGTTTTCCAGCACACACATTCGTGAGCAGCTCAAAATCACCATCTCAATGTCTGGCACAAAACACAGTATTTGTAGCTGCATTAAAGATTTCCAAAAACGGCCCTCCCTGGTGGCGCAGCGGGTTAAAGCACTGCACTGAGAATCTAAGGCCACTTCTGCATGAGTTCGATTCCCGCCTGCCCCGGAGGAGACCACATGGCGTGGCAGACCTCTCCTGACCCGCCCACTGCTCCCCTCAGCAGTGTGTACTTCGTCGATCTGCCTGTTCTGCTCCCCACTCTGTCTCTGGTGAAGCCTCTCACTGCCCCCGCACCTCTGGCCTGTACCCCAGTTCTGTATGTATAAATAAAATAAATCTTAAAAAAAAAAAAAAAGATTTCCAAAAACTTCCCACATCTAGTCTTTCTACTTAAAATAACATGCACTGGAACAGGCTTTAATTTGACTGGTGATGGAATCTGTGGATTCCAATAAGCAATCATATAGTTTATTATAGCACAGGAATTCTATTTTCCCCCTTTTGTGAATTTGTTTCCCTAATGTTCAGAGAGACCAACTGATTTGCAAGATTCAGTAAACTAAACTGCTCTCTGCTTGCTGTTATTGTCACCCACCACACCCACTCCGCACCGCCCACTCCATTTATAGCCTAGTCTGGGTGGCCACATTCAAACGCTCCTCTGAATGTGCAGAGCCTCACATAGTTCCTGACACATAACAGACATTACCGTGGTATCTTCGTGTATCATGTGTTTACTTCATAATTCAAATTTTTAAAAATTGCAATTACATAACCTGCTTCCATTTCTTTGAGGTAGGTTCACATTATTGAACAATGAATGACTATCAGACTAGTAGCTACTATTATTTTTTGATTTCGAAGCAAAAAACCACAGCCAGTTTCTCCTAGTAACTTGGGTGATTCGATTGCACGTTCATTCTTCTAGTCACAAGCAGGTAACCTGCCCTTATCCTTTTCCCCCCTTCAGTCAGCCAGTTCTCAAATGCTGTGACTTTATATTCTCATTCCTCCTGCTGCCATCCAAGGTCAAGTTCTTCCCCTCAAGCCTAACAGTGCCAACACCTGTTATTCCTAATGGGCCCCACGTTTTGCTGCCAGGTGGATTCTCACACAGCGCATCTCCAGTAAAGATCTCCAGCAGCAAACCTTTCCAGGGTGGCACTGAACTACAGAACTACATCCATGACCTAACTGGCAGCAACTTTAACCTAAGCCGCTTGTCTGACGTCCGCTACACTGCGCCACATGTTCCAGCCAAAGGCCTGGTGTGTTTTGCTCTTGATAATTCATCTGCCCTTCTTTTCTGAACTGTTTTGTGTAAAATATGTAATCAAATGCTGATTTGTATGACAGTATTAGGTGGAGTTTTTAGCTGCCCCCAAAATAAGTTTTTTGTATCTATATCCTCACAGATGTTTACATACAATTGGTGTTCAGAAATCTCTACCAGGAAAAAGGGCAAAGCAAAAGAAAAAAAGAGAGAGAGAGAGAGAGAAATTGATTTAGAGAGAAATGTTTAACTGTGTACTAAAGAAGTGTAAGAATAATCACAGAAATCTAAAATTTCAAGAGAAATTACAACACATTTTAAAATATTCCAAATATTTTCAAATTCTGTTCCATACACTGTTATAACCAAGTAAAAACAGTCTGAAGCAGATTACTGATTTATGTGGGGAAGGGCACTCACCTATGGAGCCTTTAGCAGCAATGGCAACAGCCTCTAACAGAACCTGAATAATACCTGCTCGGACCCGTGGAGAGTCTTTTTTACGAGCATCAAGGTGTCCTAGGATCTCCTGGATCACGTGATGAGAATACTGGGCCTAAAGAACATAAAAAAGTACGAAGATGTGTGAACAGTTTTATGCATCCTGGAACAATTCATCAGAATGGAAATTCACATGACGAATGCCAATTACAGGGGTCTGGTACTGATGTTTGGTATAAAAGTAGTCACTAAAATCATTCTTTTTAAAAATAAACAGGAGTACTATAAAATATTGGATAACCTGAGTGAAAAAAAGGTTAAAAAATACTACAATCAAAAATATTCAATTTAGTTTTTACAAAGTATTTAAGGGCAGAATTATACGTAAATATTAACTCTGACCATCTCTGAAGGGTATTTATGCAAAAAAAAATGTACTCTCTTTATACTTCTCAACAACTATACAACAAACTCTTATAATTTGATAACAGGACAAAATATTGCTCAAAAATAAATGGATTATAACATTTACAGCACTTTTTCTTTACCCAAACTAGATTAATACTATTTCTTATTATGGATCCCTAACAACACTAAACAGACAACTCTCATCTAATCAACAGGCATTAGCAAAATGAAAATCTGATCAATGTATGCCTGAAGAAATTTAAATCAAGAAGACATCAAAATACCATAATTTACTCAGGCAATTTTATCACATGTAAGTGCTTTCATTAATCACAGTGAATCATATTAAAAACTAAATCTAAAAAAGTATAGATAAATGTTTAACTTCAGTGCTTATTCATTTTTGGGGGGGGCTACAAAGCTGTTTTTATCAAACCCATCCCCCGACCGAGGTCATGAAAGGTCGCTGTGCTGCATCAAACTGCTAAAAAAGCCAACAAAAACTAACCCCTGGCCCTGACTCTGCTGGCTGGCTTGCCTGTGGACGGCCACCTCAACCCTATTTCCAGGCTGGGTAGACCTTTCTCTTTCTTGGTGAGGTTACCTGAACTCCCATTTCTGACCTGTAAATTGTGGACAACAACAAATGTATTTCATAAAGTAAGGAGACTAAATAAGAGAAAATATTAGATTATTAACACAGCCATGGACAAAGCTGGCACTTGTTAAACAGCAGCCCTGTGTGCAGGAGGGGTAGACAGTCTCATATCTACACACACAAACACGCACTATAAATACGCACTATGAGGAGGCTGTTTTTCAATACTAAATTTTCTTTTTATTTTTTTTAAAGATTTACTTATTTATGCATACAGAACTGGAGTACAGTCCAGGGTGCAGGGGCAATGAGAGGATTCACCAGAGACAGAGATAGAGACAGAGTGGGGAGCAGGACAGGCAGACTGACAAAGTCCACTGCTGAGGGGAGCAGCAGGTAAGGCAGGAGAGGTCTGCTGGGCCATGCGATCACCTCTGGGGCAGGGATCAAACTCACACTGAAGCAGCTATGGCTGGCTTGCAGTGCTGCATCCTAACCCCTGGCAGCACCACCAGGGAGGGCCCACAATACTAAGTTTTCTCTTCAAAGTTAAGGAAATTGGAGGTCAGAGAGGTTAAATAATTTGCCCCCACTCATACTAACAGTAAGCTGCACATCTAGAATACAAGTCAAGTCCTGACTTACACTAAAAGCTGTGCTGTTTCCTTCTTTCCTACCTTAATGCCTTCATATTATTGAAGTTTTAGGGCATTAAAAAAGGTTTTCAATAAAACTAAAATCGCACAAGTTAAGAACTAACTAGGCGGTGATGGGAAACCCATGGAGATTACAATTGAAATGAAAAAAAAAAAGTACAAAATGATGTAAAAATAAACTATTATATATATATGTGTATATATATATAAAGAACTAACTAGATCTGATCAGACTGTGAGTAAAGCCAAGGTGGACAGTAGAAAAGAGTCTCTTCTCATGAATCCTATGAAGATTAGAGGAGTTAGTATATGCACTACTATACAGTAAATGTTCAATCACTTACTATTACTAGCTATGCCCTGCATATAACTGTATCAATTCCAATACCTCCAATACCAATTTATCAGTGAACTACAAATACATAGCACGTGCACTCGATAAATGCATAATAAAGGGCACCACCATAAAATCACTTAGTGCTCTGGGTAGATATACCTTCATCTTGGCAAATAAAAACATAAGTGGCAAATAAAATTAAATGAGACAAAAGACTACATTTAAGGACAAGTCCTATGCCCTATAATGGTCACTGTTCCCTGATATCTGTGCCTACAGAGCCGGCATTACTTGTAAATGGTGAACCAAATCTTACCTGAATGGAATACATTATAATTTTAAAGCAGTGAACTGCAAATTCATTGGGATCCCATAGTTTGTGATGATCTAAATGCCTGCAATTAACAATAAGAAAGCTAAATTGAGAATTCCTTATTTTATTATGCTTTTTTCCTCAGAGTCAACAACAGTATGTAAAGTTTAACAGTCAAGAGAGTATTATCTTAAAGAAAGTCAATATTACCATTTCTAGAAATACAATACATATTACCCCAGTTGCCAATCATTTCATAAAACAATAAAAAAGTCTAAGAAACATGTAAGACTTATACATATTTAGAAGAATTGGTCAGAAAAAGGAACCCCCCTTAATTCCACACAGAAGCACAAATCTGGAGAGGTAAGTACATGCTTAAATCAGCAGCTGTACTGGGGCACAGCTTCAGATCCAGGGCAGACCAACGCCAGTGGTATAAAGGCTTCATACCCAGGAGGCTGGGACTAAGCTCGCTTGTCTTAACCTCAGCTCTGAGGAGAACTACAAAAATGAGACACCCAGCACTCAGATGTGACAGAATTCACAGTATTTGTGTGGCTCAGAAAACCTAAGACAAAAATGTCCTCAAAGTGGTATCTGGATCACACCTCACCCATGGCTCTAACAGAAGCAAAATCAAATCGTTGTGGAGGACACACATCAAATTCAGTATACACTACAAATTCATCAAACTTCCACAAATAAACTTACAGTATATAGGAGCTCAAAGTTATATTGTTCTTAACAAAGTTAAAATTCACAAAACACATAAAGTAAAAAGTCAACATGAACGAAAGGTAGCAGGATCTGAGCCTCAAGAACTAGAGATATTATTAGAATTAACAGATTCAAAAAAATTAAATGATTCTATATTTATATTTAAAGAGAAAAGGATGCTAAAATTGGACAGCTGATGACCAAGTAAATGTGAAAACTAACCAAATACAATTTCCACATTTAAAACACAGCGCTGAGTCTAGAAACAATATCAATTTAAACAATTTGACAGAGAAAATTAATAACCGAATCTTAATAAATTTCCTAGAATGTAGCACAGAGAAGTAAAGGAATAAAAAGGGTAAGAAAATGTAAGAGAGAAGAAGCAGAAAAGGAGAACACCTAGTAAATAATTTTTAATCAGTTTTAAAAGGAGATTAAAGATAGGATGAAAGTGAAAACAACTAAAAAAAAGAAAAATTCTAAATCTCAGGCTTAGGAATCTAATAAAGATAGGGAGAACAACAGTTCACCTCAAAAAATATATACATAACTAGATTTACACACCACCAGAGAAAGGACAGACTGCTGGCCAGCAAAGGGCTTAGTATCACATGCCCTGCAAAACTGCCAACAACGAGGCTCAAGCAGATACTCTAGAAAGAAGTTCTGGAAGGCTTTATTTCAGCAAGGGAGAAAAATGTTTACAGAAAAAAGGGCAGAAAGACACAAAGGAGCAGTGTGCAATGGAAGTTGAGACGCATAAGGTAACATCAGCAGACGCTGACTGGGTAAGAATAATGACATCCAGTTTGGGAAGATGAGAAGCAAACAAATTCTGGTCAAAACAGACTGAGACAAGAATTTCACCTTGTCTTTCTAAGGAAAAAGGAAGACAATGTTACACTTTTACATCTAAAACAAGTATTAAACTTGAAACTCGACCTAAAAAAATGCAAAATTTCCTAAGAATCACTCAAAAAAGCTTTCAGACAAAGCATACAAAGAAATGCTTGTGGTGCTAAAAAAAACTGACAGCAAAGTAAAATAAGTAATTCTTAAACCAATCAAAGTTTTACATTTTAAATAAAAACAAAACTTCAGCAAACACGCTCAGTGGGAAAATGTTCAAAGCAGTCTGTTCAAAATAGGAGAAGAAATGGCCCATTATCACCATTTTATTCCATAGTGTACCTGAAGTCCTAATTACACAGTAAGAACTGGAAGGTATAAGGATGGGACAGGAAGAAGTAAAACCGTCATTACTCATGGATGGCTGTGTAAGCAGAGAACTCAAAAGAAAAACAAAAATCTTAAAAGAACCTTAAAAATTATTCCGAGAGTCTCTGAGTTCACACCAAAACCAGAGATGAGGTCCATACCAAAAAAGTCAACCATTTCCCACAGGTTAACACTTTTTTTACAGAGACAGTATTTTCTACAGCATTATAAAAATTAGTTTCCTTGAAACAAATTCTAGAAAATCTTAGTGCAAAACTAAGGCTACCAGGTTGGGGGGGTGGGCGCGGAGGAAGCCCAGTGGACTATGATGGAAGGTCATGGGTGCTTTGGCAGTGGGAGTGTCATTCTAACATTGGTACAAGTGTCAATCAACATACCTAAAACAAACTGTTGTTTGTCAATATGACCTAATAAAATAATTTTAAATAATTAGTAAGAAAAAAGTTACTTAGGGAAATAGAAAAATCTGTTTCCCTGCCTATAGGCATCTCCAGGAGTGAGCAGAAATTAAAGTTAAATGACGCACATGATCCTACTTCATGGTAAAGGGGAAAGCTGGTTAAGTGGCTGAACCAGAAGCCATGTCTGATGCAACCTGGACTCTTCCACAATGAGGCGCTGCTTCCAGAGCCAGCTCATGCGCGTTAAACATGACCTGGCCTCTGAAAGTGAGTCAGCACAGAGTTAGCACGGCGGCCACATACGAGCAGAAAACACAAAGTTCTTACGCAAAAACTGGCCTAACAGCATTATTCATATTCCCGAAGGTGGCCCGGGCCAGCAGCTCTCTGAAGCAGTTTTCAGCCAGCACTGCAGGGTTTTCTTCCTTCTCAGCTGCTGAGGGAGAGGAAGGAGGGCCGATGCGGCTGAAGACGAGGGAAACAGAAACAGTGAACCGAAGCGCCACCACTAGCTCTAACAACAGAACAGCCTTCTGGTAAAATGTTAAAGTCTTTTCTCTCTATTTGACAAAGATTCCAAGACTTAACTCTGACTCCATGAATTCAACACCACAAAGCTAATCTCTTTACCTCCCAAAAGGGAGAAGTTCAGTGTGTAGCCTGTTTCTCACTAGAGCACATCTGCACAAGGGGAAATCCTAGGCCCTTGCAATTTTGTACATTTCCTGTAACTTCTAGGAACACAGTGCTTAAGATCTTTAGGTATCTTTCTTTTAACTACAAACCCGCCAAAGTAAAATGAAGTAAAAACATATGGCAACCTATAAATAAAATTGTAAAAGCTAATTAGAACATATATATTATCTTCAGGGCCTCCCTGGTGGCACAACGCCTTAAGTCAGCACTCGGAAGCTGCCCATAGCCTCTGCTGCAGGAGCTCCATACCCAGCGGGGGAGCTGACCCACTCGGGGTAGCAGACCTCTCCTGACTCCCCACTGCTCCCCTCTGCAGTGGGTCTGCCTGTTCTGCCCCCAACTCTGTCTCTGGTGAATCTTCTCAAACCCACCTCCAGCCATACCTCTGGCCTACACCCTGGTTCTCCTATACAAAAATAAATTTTAAAAATCTTTAAAAAAAATTAAAGTTGAAATCTTAGATTTAGAGAGATATCTTTGAAATGTGATTCAAATTTTCCTCTTCAAACTACAAGTATGGGGAAGATCAGGCTAATAAGCCAAGTTCTGAAATATAATTGCACAGAATCTCTGCATACAGCAACAATGTGGACAGAAAGCTTGCTGCAGGGATCTGAAAAGCAGGAAAAAATTACAGAATTGGAGGTGTAACTGGTATTGGGAGGGGAGGAAACTGGCATGTACCCCAAAACAGCAATCCATGCCAACACACAAAATATCGTAGAACAATGACTAAAAAATAGTATAACTTTTTGCTGATAAAACAAAAAAATGTATAGTGAATAGCAATTACTATTACTTGATGAAAAAGCATACTGGATTTCTAAACAATAACAACAGTTGAGCTAAGATTTCTATTTCTCACACTTCAATTAATTTAAATAGCAATCTCAATGCTCAATAATAAGCAAGTAAGATGCAAATTTATTCCAAAAGAAATAAAAACTGAAGTGTATGCAGTAAGAGCCTAATGTGATCACTAAAGAGGAGCCATTAATCCAGAGAAGACCTGTAATTAAGCCCCATTCAGTTTAGGAGACTGCTATTTGCATACTAAAGACAAAACCTTCTTATCCTTATAAGCCCCGCCCCCATACACAGAGCAATACAGCCTCTACCCTGACATGTTCTCAATACCTGTCGACCTCTTCTATCTTTTGCATGTTAAACAGCAGAGATGGAACAATTTTGTCCATATGTTGAGGTTCCCAGATGGTAGCGCGGAGCTCATCGTTAACTGTCTTGCGAACGACACCTTGAATGCCCCTGATCCCAGCAATTCGGATTCTATAAAAAAGAAGAAAACTTGAGACACAAACATTACTTAAACGAGTATGCTTGCTTAGCTGAGAGCGTGGATGCCAAGTAAATACTGTGTTCTCAAGGAAATAAAATGAAAATAACACAAGTCTAAGGACAAAGTTAGGACAGGTTCAAAAAAGAAAAAAAAATTGCTTTGAATATCATCTTCTTACAATCAGTGTTAAAGTTTAAAAGGATTATGAAATAGAAATATCTAGTCTATGTCTATACCTCAATAAAAATAATGTAATCAAAAGCACTTGGTTTTCCTAAGAGGATGATAATTCAAACTAATATGGATTAGCCTCTTACTTCTCTCACAGAAGTCTCAAAACTGAGTGAAAATGGGGTTTTACTGTTCCCAAACACCATGAAGCCTTCAGCAGACTTCTCCATCATTGTTTCTCCCCTGTCCACCTAGACAGAAGACTAAGCAGATTCCCCTAAAGATAGGAAGATGAGAACTATCAAAACAGAGTATAGATACCCCTGCCACAGAAACGCATCATCTATGTGCACCGACACTCATTATCACCTACACATGACTTTGAATTTATCAAAATAGTGAGCGAATACTTCAGCCTCCCACCTTCTACACTCACCCCACCCCCAACTTCCTCAAGCTTGTCCTAGTTCCGCTTTAAACACACACACACACAAATCACTATCCATTCAAGGGAGAAAAGTGATCAGAACAGAGCATGTATGAGCTGGGAAAGAAGAATCTCTCAATCCAAGCTGCCTCATAGCCCATTCGTCCAAATACCTTCCCTCTGTCCATATTTGATACTATTGACTTCATTTTTCCTATTACCTGAACATGGTCACTGCTAGAGGCTTACTCAACTTACCACTGTCTTCCAAAAGCCAGGTTTCAGGAGTGGAAGCGAGGGGGGGGGGGGAGGTACTGACAAACCCATGGGAGAACAGCATCTCAGGGCTGCAGGTGTGGGACACCGCAGGGATGTGGCAGTGAGCAGGTGAGAGGGCAACAGGAGACGAAGACAAACTACCTATTTCAAAGTCATATAAGTGCTTCTTTCCTTAACATAAACAGAACCTTGAGACGCCTGTGCAGTTATCCCAGCCGGGCTGGCCTACCAAAACGCCTGGTGTCTGCTTACGTACTGATGCTCGTCCCTGGATGCTGGCAGGGCTGTGCACTAGGGGCAGCGAACACAGAGACAGACAGTGACACATGGAGGTGGCTCCTGTCTCATGCTAAATGGAGAGCAGAGGGTGGTGTCCTCCAGTAGGGAGAGTGGGTAGTACCCACAGCTTCTACAGCTACTGCTGGCAACAAGCCCAGTCCTAGTCTTGGCATAATCAACATAATTTAGTCCCGAACCTGAGAAGAACTTTAGTTTTTCCATCAGTAAAACAGAGTAATTGTCATACAGCACAGGAAAATTATGAGGAACAAATGAGCTGATTCATGTACAGTGTTTAACCACCAAAGTGTTATGAAATTGGCACATATCAGGCACTTAATGTTAGCTCCGCCTGCTGAAGGATGCTCAGGAAATGAATGAGTACAGCTTACAATGCGATGCGTGATTTTACAAGTGGGAACCATTTCTGCATTTTTAGAAAATTTTAAGAAAATCTGAACAGTTATAGGTCCCATCTCACTGCTCATGCCCCCTGACAAGGCTTTGCTAAACACCATAATAAGTACCTAAGTTAGAACCTGAAGAAAACAAAAATGGTTTTTACTTAAGGTAAAGCAGCACAAAAAAAAAAACAAAACAAAAAACAAACAAAAAAAAACAAAAAAACACAAGCCTTGTATTTTAAAGAATTTAAATTTATTCTTTTTTTCCATAATTCAAATAAAATGTCATTTCTGAATTTCAAATGTCATATAATGACAGAGAGACCTCGAATGACGAAAAATTATTACAAGGTCTTTTATTTGCATATAGAAAATTTCAGTTTCTTAAAAACTGAAATGAAAACTGTTATGTGAACATATGTTCAAAGGACAACATCATTCACTAGGAGGCGCTAAAGACCTAAAAATAAGATACCTTATGTTTTTAAAAAAAAGAAATTATTTCTTACATAAATTGTAAACACTATAAACTGACATTGTTTATATGTGAAAACCACCTTAACTAAAACTTGAGTGGTATCTGCATAGTTATTAATCCTTAAATACTAAACAAGAAATGCTATTCTGGATTTTCTGTATTTTAAAAGAAAACAAAATTGCTACAATATTAAAAAAAACTGACATATTCTTTTAGCTAACATCCATATACTTTTGTCCATTAGCTAAACAATGTCAGCCTCTGAGAACAGGAAACAGTTTTATAAAACATTTTTTAAATATTGATGAGAGAGAGAAAGAAAATATTTTAGTTGTGAATGGGAGAAACAGTTATACTGAATTCAGGTTAGTCTCTTTCTTTTTAGGGGTGTGACAGTAATGCTCAACCTACTCTCTATTTGCCAGGGTCATTTTGACTTTAATTGTTATCTTTAAAATTTCCTATTTCTAGATCAATAACAATCAATAGACGCTTGCAGACAAGTATCTGCTTCCAGATTACTAGGATGTATTCAAAAGAAATTCTATAAATATTCAAATGAGTTGTCATGACAACCTGAAAATGACAGTGATTCAGCAATAGCCGTTCACTCAGTTTACATACACATTTACTCGAAAAGCACTTCCTGAGCTCCTACTAGCGCACAGCATGTCCAAGAGCCAGCAGCAAAGCCACCTCCCAACTAGCCCTGAAGCTCCCGGAGCAGTGAGACACAGAGACAGGGTATGAGGAGCAAGTGAAACCCCACCTGGGGACAGGGTTTGCTGCCTAATAAGGAAAAGATGGCTCAAAGAGGTGTCGCCTGATAAAGTGGTATTTGAGCAAAAACCCCACCAAAGCGAGGTAACCAGCCATGTAGGTATGCGGGGAGTAATTCAAAGCAGAGGAGTGGTTTCCCTGAGAAGGGCGCCTGGTGTGTGCAAAAAGAGGAGGAAGAAACGACACGAGGACAGGACCTGTAGCTGAGATCGGAGCAGCACCACCGAGCTCCCAGGCTCCAATGGAAACTATGAACCGAGTACACTGAAAAACCACTCTCAGCTGGCAGCTTAGGTAAGTTGTTCTAACTCCCAAGAGCAGTACAGTAATGGTTCAAGAAGGAGGCACGTGCTCCCCCATTTCCTCTGCTGGTCTTTATGCCACAATATTCACGAGGGGAGGACCCCACGGCTGGGAACCACAAAGCAAGACTACACGTACTCTGTTCGTATTTCAGGGTCACTGTGGCAGGAATGACACATGGCACTGAAGCGGGATACGAAAAAGTCGTAACGTCTGTGATATGATGGTGTGTCTTCTTCAATATTTGCAAATTTAACAAACTGAAAAACAAAAATAACAATATAAATGTGTTAGCACCTTTTTTGAAAATGTGGAATAAGCATATTTATACTTTCACTCATTGTTTGTTATATTTACTAGAAATATCCACATAAGAAGCAAATGAATAGATCATTAATACCACATGGAAACAAAAGTAATGGACTTCAGAAACCAAAGGTCAAGCCCGGTAGTATTAAATATAACGTTCTAATCCAGTTTCTTTCTAGTTGGCAACCCCGCTCTCTAGGAGGAGAGGTCTTACTCTAAAGCTCTCGAACATCATCGCATCAGTGAGGCCTCAGAAAGACTCACCCCTCCAGGGAGTGTTATTCTGTGGCCAGGACATCTTCCTTAGCATGTCCTGCATCACATACAAATGAGCATTTATAACAATAACATGGGAGAAAAAAGAGGAAACATGAATTGAAGGAAACATGACAAGCTCAATAGAAAAGAAAAATAATGAGATGACATTTATTTTACCTCCTTTTAATGACTAAAAAAGGAGAGAAAGGAGAGCCAGAGGTTCAAGAGATGAACACTAGGAAAATGGACACTTGAACACTTCTCATGCATTCAGAGATGCATGAGCTTTGTGTACTAACCTAGCCCAAGCTTCAAAAAGCTACATTCCTAAAGCTGGTGCCAAGGAATCATCATCTGTACTTTCTTCTATGTAGTTTATAGTTTCAGGTCTTACACTTAAGTCTTTAATCTATTTTCTTAATTTAACAATCAATAGTTTCACCAAACTATTTTTAAAATAGTTCAAAAATTTTAAAAAGGGTAAAAATAAAAAGGAGTTAGCATAATTTTTCCAACAGAAGAACGTGAACCACCCAGGCACTGGCATACTCCTCACTCAGAGGCAAATGCCATCAAGTTCAAATAAAATGTACACCTATTTTTAACAAATGTAAAGGTTATAAATGAGTACTGATCATGTTTGAAAATATTTTTCAACATTTACTTTTCAATATTCGACAACATAGCACCACTACGAAATGAAACTCAAACATGCCTGGAACACTAGATAAATAATGTTGGTAAAGACACCATAGCATTCCTTTGTATGCAATTCATTTACATCAAGATGGGCAACTGGAAAATCAAGTCTTTTGCCCAAATGACTCACTAAATGAATTGTAATGGCACTTTCTTTCGGATGTAAGTAAAGAAATTTGTGAGGATATATACTAAAACAACCCCCTCTGACTGCTAAACCATTTCCCCTAAAGTTCCCTCATCTAATTACAAAAGAATTAGATGACAGAACTGTTACAATACAGGACTGTTGGAAAAGTCATTGCCTTTTTTTTCTGTTTTTCAAGCAAAAATATGTCCTGACTTGTCCGACAACCCAATGTGCTGTGGCCTGAATCTGAGCCTGTCATATCGCTTACCTAAATCTGGAAATATCCAATATTCTCTGTTTCACTGGCTAAAACCACATAAAAGGCTTTTAGTGAGGGTTTATTTATACACACTTGCTTCCTTTTTTTTTTTTACACTCTACCAGTAACAACTAACAATGCCATTCAATGCTCTAAGAGTTTATGTCACACGACAACCTTGTCAGATTAGTACCAACATACCCTCACTTCACAGATGAAAAACCTAGGCAAGGAGAAGTAATGTAACTTGCCCACGATACAGAACAAGAAAGTTGGGCAGGAAAAGTTCAAACTAGGCCAATAGGACTCTGGGATCCAGTGTCCAGCTACCACCCGCATTTCCTCTCACTAAACCATAAGATAATTATCCATAAAAACTAGCAAGTGATATGTGTGTGTGTGTGTATATGTGCATATATATCTCTAAATAAGTCAGCTGTTTCTAAGAAAAATATGAAAGGAACCACACAAATTGATTGAAAGTTTGGAAGTTTCCTCAGAGATTAAGTTGGCACTGTAGGCTGGAGGTTATGCAACATAAGTAAAGAGAGAAAGGCTATCTTTGCCTTTTACTTTCCTTTTTAAAAATGTGCTTAAACTATTCTTTGAGATAGACATGAGTGCGGTAAGTGAAATAGTTAAGAAGTGTTAAGAAGACATGGGGAAATCCCTTACTTTCATGGCCAATTGATCTATGTTGATCACTACAATTGGTTACCATTCCAGATTTTACAGGGAGCAATCTAATCATAATCACATAAAACTGTTTTGCTGCCCAAATACGTGACAGAGCACTTTAGCAGGGGTAGATATTCAAGGAGATACTAATTCCAGATATACTAACTGAACTCTCAATAGAGAATAATTTTACTCACAGAATTTGTTCCAAGAACTTGAAGCTTTGGTTCCCCTGATTCCAGCAGCTTGGCTACCATATGAAGAAAACTTTCTACAAATGGCTTGATACTCTGAGAATGGCAGGCCATAAGAAGTTGGTCCAGGGCCTCCATAGCAATTAAAACATACCTAAGCATAAGAAAAATAATGTCAAGCATGTCTAGCTTCCTACTTCTCCTAAGTGCTCTCTATTGGAATAATTAAAATAAATTTATTTAAATACACAGGACACAGGGAAGACCAAAGAGCAATTTCTGAGTGGTATCATTATTCAATTCTCACATAGCACTAAAGATCTCAGATCATAAAAATATCCTCATGTTGAAGTATATAAACATTGTACTACTGTTTTCTCCCACTAACAAAGCTCTTTCAAAATTTCTTTAACTTTACACCTTTAAATCTACTTTTCTTTGTAAGCATGGTCATTTTCTAGTTTCCAGACTTTTAAACATAATGACCCAAAATATTTACTGTAAGCAGTATGAAAAAATTTCCAATAGAATCTTTTTATATTTCTAAATGTGTCTAGAAAACAGGACTGACAGCAGAAAATATTACAACAGAAATGCTTTTAAATGTTAATATTTATATTAAAAATTAAAATTCAGGCAGGCTTTCTATATCTTTGTTTCAACAATCAACTATAAAACTACACCAGGTCTCATTAAAATGTAAGTGGTAACAGTGTGGAAGTAGTGAGAGAAACTTGGAATACTTTACGCCACTAGATCACAGGACGATATGGGAACATATAATCCAAGTCGCAAAGTCATTACTCTTCAAGCACAGAGAACCAATAACTACCATGGAGCTTCATTTGTAGGTGGGTGACAGCGAACACAGTTTCACTCAGCCTGCCTACATCTCTGGCACCTTAATGTTTACGCTTAACCTCTCTTACTACTCCTCTGGTAGGTCAAACTGAAGCTATGTTAAAAATCAGCGCATAGTTATTGGAAATTGATTTTTTTAAGTATAGTATTGTGCTGACAGACTGAGCTAATTTCTACTATTTCCATTTGAGAAGTCTCAAAAACTAATGGACGCTTGAAGGGAATTCGGCTGCGTCTATTTGTAAAACCCGGTCACCAGGAAAAGGATAAAGCCATAGCATCTCTGTGGTATTACACATGTCCTCCAGGTACTACATCCCTGCCTGACAAGAGAGCAAAATAATATCACTCTGGGAGGGCTTAGCCTAGGGAGAAATCCGCAAAAATGCTGTATTAGCAGCAATTCAGTTTCCTTACCCAGATCGATGTCTGACAACATCCCTGCTCAACCTCTCAGCCAGGTAAGCACCAATACGGTCCAGTTTCTCAGGAGCAGATACTGCGTAAAATGTTAATTTCTCCATATCAGCTTTAACAAGGCCATCCTAAAAATAAGAATGATGAGTGGACGATAGCATAGCTATAATTTCATGTTTACTTTTTGTATTTCTAAGTGTTGCTTTCTTCTGATTTTCCTTTTATACTAGAGTGATCTGTATTTCTAGAACCTGAAAATAGCCTCTTTAATCCAAGTAATCTCTGGAGTAAACAAAACTTTCAAAAACTTAAAGACAAAGCATTTAAAATCTTCAAAAGGGGCTCTCCCCTTTTGGCACAACGGGTTACAGCACAGCACTACAAAGATAGCCCAGCTGCTTCAGCATGAGTTTGATTGCTGGCCAAGGAAGTGACCCACATGGTGCAGTAGATTTTTCTTGTCTTGCTTGCTGCTCCCCTCAGCAGGGTACACTGTCAATCTGCCTGTTCTGCTCCCCGCTCTGTCTCTAGTGAATCCTCTCACTGCCCCTGCACTTCTCACCTGTACCCCAGTTCTGTATGCACAAAAAATCTTTTTAAAAAATAAATAAGTAAAACTTTACAAAACTTTTTAAAAAATAAATAAGTAAAGCCTTCATTTCTAGAGAAATAACTCAAGTGAAGTATGTAGGAAGTGGGATGTAATTTGATGAAGTAGATTTCAAACAAAATTTGTTCATTTAAAAATTTTAAATGTGCTATTCATAAGACTATTCATATACATATTTGATTAATAAGACTAATAATGTTGTATTTTTAAGACTCCTTTACATATACAACAGTGAAAAGGTTTTTAAATAACTTAGAAATTGCTGCTACTATGTTTTGTTATAACTAATGAATAAAGTACTAAGAACTGTAATGATCTAAGTGTAGCCAATGCCTTTTAATTGATTGGTCGCCTCTACATTACATATTTAAATCAGATTTGATTAAAAAGATGTAGCATGTAGGCCCTCCCGGGTGGCGCAGCGGGTTAAAGCACAGCACTGAGAAGCTAAAGCCGCTTCC